TGGGTCAAACGAAGATGTTGAAGCACTCGAGAAGTTGTTTGAAGCACTGGATTTTAAAGTGAAAATTGAAAGAAATAAGGGAAGAAAAGAGATTTTAGAGATATTAGATGACATTGCTCAATATGATCACACACACTATGACTGCTTTGTTTTATGGCTTATGAGTCATGGCCAAGATGGTCAATTCTATGGGTCCGATGGAGAGACAGTTCCCATTGAGTCTGTGCGAGACTTTTTGAGTAGTACAGAATGTCCAACGTTAAAGGGAAAGCCAAAAATCATTTTTATTCAGGCATGCAGAGGTCCCCGTAAAGAACAAGGTGTTGTAGCTGATGCTCCACAGAGCCCCACCGAGCAAGGCCGGGAACCATCAACTAATGACAGTGAAGAGAGCAGTGACAGAGACTTTAACTTTAAACTTAGTAAGGCTATTCCAGTGCATGCAGATATTTTGATTGCAAATTCGACTATCAGTGGCTATGCATCATTCAGAAATCCACGTCAAGGAAGCCGTTTTGTCCGCTGTATTGTGGAGGTTTTTTGTGAGCATGCATGCCATGAGGATCTGCTTAGCATGCTCACTATGGTGAATCAGAGGATCAGCGAAATGGGTGAAATTACGACAAAGCAAGTGTCAGAGCCGGCATATACCTTGACAAAAAAGTTATTCTTTTGGCCTGGACTGTAATGAACAGGTCATTGCAGTATGCACTGGTTTACTTTTTAGAAACTCTTACTGTGCATGTAACTCATGATAGTTTCTGAGTAGCTTGTTAATTTGGAGGGAAACTGCTTCAACATACACGTACCATATTAAAAATAGTGTAGCAAGATTCATGTACCATTAGAAGCAANGCATATACCTTGACAAAAAAGTTATTCTTTTGGCCTGGACTGTAATGAATAGGTCATCCCAGTATGCACTGGTTTACTTTTTAAAAACTGTGTTACTGTAACTCATGATAGTTTCTGAGTAGCTTGTTAATTTGGAGGGAAACTGCTTCAACATACACGTACCATATTAAAAATAGTGTAGCAAGATTCATGTACCATTAGAAGCAATAGTTTTGATCTTGAGAGCCCCAATCGTTACAGTTCACAAGTTAAAGTATTTGTTGTTGTTTATTTATAATAAGAACTGTATGACCTCCAGATGTTAATGTGCAAATAGCACCGGGCTCTCTCTTATAAGCACCCATCACCAGTAAGTACTCCAGCTGTTAAATTGAATCATGACCATTAGTTTTTGTCTCGTAGAGACATCAAGCTCAGTTGAGCTGAAATATAGAGAATTTTGTACCATTATGATCAAAAGCAAGTCAAATTTGGCCAAACCAGAAATGTCTGCAGGCCAAGAAAAGATGTACGAAATCTGCAAGTGTTAATGCATAGTTTACAACAACAACAACAACAACAACAACAACAACAACCATTTCTTTGTACTCACAATTTATAAAATAATTACCATAAACATTAAATTAGTATAGAGTACTGCCTGCCCAAAATAACCATAAGGGCTTAAAAGAATGGGCAGACATTAAGTTACATAGATTATTTATACAGTTATCGGTCGGTAACACGCTTACACACACACTCACAAATACAAACAGAATGGAAACTTACAGCGGAACAGAATATATCCTTATGAATTAATTAAAGTAATTGTAATATTTAATATGAATCAATGAAGTGTATTTTTAATTTCTTCTTTAATTGAAAATCAAGTAATTTTTTGTCAGACTCATCAAGAGAATTCCAGATTTTAGG